TGTGATACTTTCTCACACGATTGATTATCGATATGCTTTTGCCAAGTACCGATTAAATTTATTTTTTTTTTTTATCTTTTTTTAAATTAGTATCAATACTTAATATATGGCTACATTACACATCTCCATTCCATTTATCATGACACAAAGTGTATTTTCACTTAACATTTTACTTATGCCAGTATGTGCTGTATTTGAATCCAGAGTTGAGAATTAGTTGATAACTTGTACTTATAACTATTTCGTGTTTATTCTGATTGCTTTACTAAAAGATTTCTATAACAGTATATTTCTGACCAATATATCGATAATCGTCATATTGTGATATAATCGTTATCGTGAGCTTTGTATTGCGTATCGTATCGTATTGTGAGGTACCCTGAGGTTCCCACCCCTAGTGGTGGTGAGCATGGGCAGGTCTAACCAGTGCTCGTCTTCCAAGAGTTACTTTTCAAACTGAGGAGACGGGGAGAAACAGACATTCACTTTCATGTTTTTAAAGGAAATGCAGTGGTGCCAAAATATTGTTGTCAAAAATCAGTAACAGAAGCTTTAGTTATGCTTCTATCACTGCTGCTTTTAAAGAAGTCTTCCAGAAAACTACAAAAAGTCCACACAAAACAAACTCGGCACAAACTGTTGGAAAGATTTGTGTAACTTGGATAGATTCGTTCGAGTGACTTTTTGGACGTAAACATTCATTTGGGTCTTGAGTGAAAAGGAGCGACTGTGAAAAAGATGAAGGGAGTGCAGTGGAGGAAGAGTAAACGAATGTCACTAATCACTGATGTGAAAAGGTCAGCCTAACTAGCCCCGATCACAGTCACCACTGACAAATGCATTGTCAGTGATCGGCCGGTGGGAACAGAGGAACAAGCTTCTATTAACCGGAGCAGATCATTACACACAAATAATGGGCTCGCCGTGCTGCTGCTCTCAGCCCGAAAATCCATCCTCACTTTGTTCCGTGTCCTCTCCCTCACCTTAAGCACCTCTGAGTCTGAGTTTGGTGTACACAGACAAGTGGCGAGGCCTTTCATTAACAGAATAATGATTGTATTTGAAAACAATTGAGAGGAAATTACTGTTGAGGGTGTCTTAGTCAACTGCAATGTTGCATTAGTCTAAAAATTATATTATTTAAGTACAAGAATCTATGTGTGAAAACTGAAAAACGGCTGAACTTTGATAACCGTGGAAAATCAAGCTCACATAATAATAATAACAATAATCATAAAAACATGTTTAATAATTACTAAATATTTCAGTGATTATAGTATTCTCTCTCTTATGGCTAGTAATCAGTGAATTGGGTGCGGCTTTGACTGCCACCTTCCTGACCCAGAAAAGGATTAAGCGGAAGAAAATGGATGGATGGATTGTATTCTCTCCAAATTGGCTTGGTCTCGCACCAAAGTACATCTGTGACATTTAAGTACCAAATGGTACTTTGAGGAGCACAGGGACTGGCCTCCTGCTGGGACTCTGCGGAGCACAGGGACTGACCTCCTGCTGGTGCCCAGAGTCAGAACTAAACATATAGAGAGGCAGCATTTCAGATTTATTCTGAAAATGTGACAGGCTTTTATTCTCTGACAATGTCTAAAGGTTGAAATGGTTCTGTTTAGCTGTGCACACAACTGAGGGTTTGTATATTCATTCAGTTGCATTGTTCCTTTCTATACAAAAAACTTACCTTGCGTCTTTTTGCAGTTTTGAAAGCACAGTTATATGAGTTTTAAACGTATTATTATGTTGAGTGTTTGTGGTGCCCCTTTATCAGTGTAACAACCCTTGAAATTTCATAAATAAAAGACCTTCTTGTGCAAAATATCACGAGCCAGAAAATGTATCCATGAAAAATAATTATTGTTTTGAAATCTGTGCTAGCAACAATAGAATGCGTTGGACAAGGACAAAATAAAATTTGTACTCGAAAGCATTTATGTGTGTGTTTAGAAAAAAAGAGGTTTTTCTCTTGGCTAACCACGCAGTGCACTAGACTCACAACAATACATACAAATCAATGTCATTAATGTGATGTTGTTAGTCACGACAACATGTCATTAGACGATTGTCAAATAACTGTTCTGTTTTCATTCAGCCACAATTTCAAATGCTATTATTTATCAAGCAATAAATGGCATGCCTCTCAAGCAGCTGCAGAATCAACAACTCCAGAGTGAATATGCCTTGCGAAAGTATACGGCCCCCTTGAACCTTTCAACATTTCGCCACATTTCAGGCTTCAAACATAAAGATATAAAAATTTTATTTTTTGTCATGAATCAACAACAAGTGGGACACAATCGTGAAGTGGAACGAAATGTATTGGATAATTTAAACTTTTTAACAAATAAAAAACTGAAAAGCGGGGCGTGCAATATTATTCGGCCCCTTTACTTTCAGTGCAGCAAACTCACTCCAGAAGTTCAGTGAGGATCTTTGAATGATCCAATGTTGTCCTAAATGACTGATGGTGATAAATAGAATGCACTTGTGTGTAATCAAGTCTCCGTATAAATGCACCTGCTCTTTGATAGTCTCAGGATTCTGTTTAAAGTGCAGTGAGAACCATGAAGACAAAGGAACACACCAGGCAGGTCCGAGATACTGTTCTGGAGAAGTTTAAAGCCGGATTTGGATACAAAAAGATTTCCCAAGCTTTAAACATCTCAAGGACCACTGTGCAAGCAATTATATTGAAATGGAAGGAGTATCAGACCACTGCAAATCTACCAAGACCTGGTCGTCCCTCCAAACTTTCATCTCAAACAAGGAGAAGACTGATCAGAGATGCAGCCAAGAGGCCCATGATCACTCTGGATGAACTGCAGATAACTACAGCTGAGGTGGGAGAGTCTGTCCATAGGACAACAATCAGTCGTGCACTGCACAAATCTGGCCTTTATGGAAGAGTGGCAAGAAGAAAGCCATTTCTCAAAGATATCCATAAAAAGTCTTGTTTAAAGTTTGCCACAAGCCACCTGGGAGACACACCAAACATGTGGAAGAAGGTGCTCTGGTCAGATTAAACCAAAATTGAACTTTTTGGCCACAATGCAAAACGATATGTTTGGCGTAAAAGCAACACAGCTCATCACCCTGAACACACCATCCCCACTGTCAAACATGGTGGTGGCAGCATCATGGTTTGGGCCTGCTTTTCTTCAGCAGGGACAGGGAAGATGGCTAAAATTGATGGGAAGATGGATGGAGCCAAATACAGGACCATTCTGGAAGAAAACCTGTTGGAGTCTGCAAAAGACCTGAGACTGGGACGGAGATTTATCTTCCAACAGGACAATGATCCAAAACATAAAGCCAAATCTACAATGGAATGGTTCAATAATAGACGTATCCAGGTGTTAGAATGGCCAAGTCAAAGTCCAAACCTGAATCCAATCGAGAATCTGTGGAAAGAGCTGAAGACTGCTGTTCACAAACGCTCTCCATCCAACCTCACTGAGCTAGAGCTGTTTTGCAAGGAAGAATGGGCAAGAATTCCAGTCTCTCGATGTGGAAAACTGATAGAGACATACCCCAAGCGACTTGCAGCTGTAATTGCAGCAAAAGGTGGCGCTACAAAGTATTAGCGCAAGGGGGCAGAATAATATTGCACGCCCCACTTTTCAGTTTTTTATTCGTTAAAAAAGTTTAAATTATCCAATAAATTTCGTTCCACTTCACAATTGTGTCCCACTTGTTGTTGATTCTTGACAAAAAATTAAATTTTTATATCTTTATGTTTGAAGCCTGAAATGTGGCGAAATGTTGAAAGGTTCAAGGGGGGCGAATACTTTCGCAAGGCACTGTATGTAGCTCAACAGAAGACTGAAATCTCTGAAATTCACGTTTTCCTTTTTTTTTCATGATCTAAATTCTATTGAGTCTCACGGCACAATGGAGCCTGGGGATCTGTAATTCCAGGTCATTAGGACAACAATACATTCTTGGTCAACTTAAGTGCGACTAATCCGATAAGCACATGGCTCAACATTATATAATGAGAAAAAAATAACATATCCGTTCAATGTAGCAGTTTTGGATAATACATGCTAGCACAAAAACATGCTTCTAAATGTCTTGGTTGAGGTTCAGGAGTTATATTAACTCACTATTTATGTATATAGAGCTTTACCATTTGTAAAGGTTGTAGAGACTGGTTGTTTGTATAGAGCTTTAGTAAATGGTAAAGCTCTTTACAAACAACCAGTCTCTACAACCGCCATGGAGACCAAGTACTGTACATGTTCTTAGTTCTATAGGGGAAACCAAAGCACATAGAGGAAACCTTCGCCGACACAGGGAGAACATGCAAACTCCATGAAAGCAGTGCCACGGTGTCATCAACAACACAAAACTGACCACAACAATTGAATTAAATGTGACAGTAATGAGATTAAATACATGAACCTGCATGAATTTATTTTTGTTAACTATTTTTTGTTGTTACATGTCCTTCCTCTATATCTTATCACAGACGTAGAAGAGGTGGACTGCTCAACGTCACGCAGAGTGTTATTGCGGAAGAAGCTGATTAGAGAACTCAAACACCTCCGTGGGTGGAGAACTATAGAGCCAAACTAGAGTCGGCAAAGACCTAGCAACCAAAGAGCCAATCAGGAGCAGCGCTGGCTTGTTTCTGCTCGCATTACTTGCTCGTGGACAGACAGTCATTATTGTAGTTTTAGATTTGTTAAGGCCATAATTTAGTTTATATTAAAATGTCTAAAAGTCTAAAATGTTTAGGTCTATAATTAGTTCTAAAATTTAAAATCATTATTTAAAAACATCCTGAAATATATTTGTTATTATTCATTTCAAACCTACAGAACACTGATTATAATATCTAAGGACCCCCCTTGAAACAGAGCGACAGACATAACTAATCTTTTGTGAGTTCAGTCTATGCATCTTGCCCAAACTGAGCTAAAACAGTGCGATAATAACTATGGATACAGGGTGTTTTCAAATATGAATGCAAAAATGAGACCTACCATCAAAGGCCTTGTACTGTCCTGCCAGAGAGGTGTGCAGAGCTCGACCCGCCTCCTTCAGCAGCCCCTCCATCTCTCTACGGCTCAGCGTGGCCAGGTTCTCCTCCATGTCACTGGTGCAGCAAGTGTATCCCTGGGGACAGATCCGCAGATGCTCTCCTACAGGGCGACCCCACAGAGAGAGAGAGAGAGAGAAGAGAACAAAGTGAGCCGCATATTTCATGTTTCAGCTCCTTCTAATGCAGTAAAACAAGCGAGCCGTTATGCTATCCTGCTATTTAAGACAGTAATATAATTTTAATGCAGTGCAAGAGGAGGTTCAGACCGAGGACTGGGATCACTTTGGAAGAATTTGTGATGTCAAGTTCAAATGAAATTGTTCGGGTGAACCAGGTGCACTTGATCCGGTCCCCATCTCCATCCAGTTAAAGTGGTTCCAGTTATCATAATAGTTATGGCTGTAACTATTATGATATTGGATTAGTCTATCTATCTATCATCTTTAAATCAATCTATGAGTTATAAACATCCACATTTTATTTTTAAACAATATATTTATATTGGTCAAGCTGAAGAGAAGCCACCGGAGGCTTCAGTTTGGTAAATGTTTTTTGAAAGACTTATCTATAGCAAGACATTTAGGCAATTTTTTTTCATGTAATTGATACTCTGTTTTAGCCGTGAAACCAAATCTCTTCAAACATGGATGTTCTGGAGTATGGCAGTTAACTTCAATAATTCTAGTTGTACTATACAATACTATACATTGAAAATTATTCTCGTATAGACCTAAATCACAACAGAAATCATCTCAGAGACTTAACAAAACCATAGAAATCACCAACAAAGATCAGAGAATCAGCAGTTAAGACACAAAAAGAATATAGAACACATGTTGATGAATGATCATACATGTTGTAGAATGTTAAAGTGTCCTGGATCATCACCACAGTCCTTCTAGTTGGACACTAACTGCCCAACAGACCCTCCTGCATCGGCAAGGAAAAACTCTTAAAAAAACCCAGTGGGATTATTTCATTGATTACTACAATAATTTAATGATTATTGGGAAATTTTGATTGACAGTGATTAGTAGTAAGGAAAAAAGTTTCCATTTAGAGGCTTAGTAGCAGTAAGAAAGGGCAGCATGGTGCTATATGAGTACAATGCTCCAGGATCAATAGTTTTTCAGGTTTTCTGGTGCAGTGGTCCCTCATCAGAGAGAACCCTCCAAACAATTGATCTTGTAGCATCCTAGAGACAACTGTGATAGAAAGTAAAGACACCATGCTGAGCGCTCATACAGGTCACATAAAAAGTTCCCCTTTAACACTTCATATAGCCCAGTCTTTTCATAGCGCTTGTACTCGCAGTGGTGATGGTGCATCATTTAATAATACAGTAGTAGTAGTAGTAGTAGTGCTGCCAGGTGCAATGTTGTATGTATTTGCAGAAGCGACACTGGCTTAAGTGGCAAAAACAACAACAACAGACCTGACAAATGTGTGTAGCAACAGCAGCAATATGATTAATAGCAGTAGTAGCAGAAATGACTAAGAAACGCTACACTATGATTTATGCTATTAAACTTGGCCTTTTCTTGAAAACCTAATTCCCTCTTCAAGCTAATCGGACATGGGTGGGTGTGGGAATTGTAGGCGCTGAGGCTGTGTGTGTGTGTGTGTGAGTTGAATGGCTGGGTGCCCGCCTCAGTACCTGGCACCACAAGGTTTAACTGTGACAAGTGCAGCCACGCATCCCGGAGCCCGAGCTGGAGCCGGAGAGACCCCCATCCACTTTTAATGAGCTGTCCGACACGCATGCCTGTTCCGCACACACTGGAAATGTGTGCTCTCACAGAAGCCGGGGACAAACACCGAGTCCAACAGGAAGGGTAATTAAACAAGGATGTCACCAAGGGTTCAAAAGTGAAGCTGGAAGCAGAAGAACACGGTGCATTGTGGACGTTTAGCCCGCCACGCTGTACGCTTGTTTGTCAGGATTTTCTCTGCAAATTGGACAACTTCCCGAATGGAGATTTTTTGTCTTTATTATTGTTGTCATTTACAGCTAGCAAAGGCAGCGCACATTTCAGAACGGTAATTTGTAAGAACTCGTAGACGCGAATGTTTGAAGAAAAATCAGGTTATGATAGAAAGTAAGGCAAGTTTATATGTATAGCACAGTTTATACACAGGGTAACTCAGTGCTAAACAAAATATAAAATTCAAAGGCATTAAAATCATGCTGCTAACATGTCCGGATTATTGCTTGCGCTAGAATGCACAGTACTTGCTTTTTACTATGCCAAAGGTAGAGATTCCATACTTCGTTATTATGCTAAAGTCAGAGTTTTTGTACTCATTATGCTAAAGATAGAGATTTTATGGTATTTTTTTATTTTTCCTACGGTATCATTAAAAGAGAGTTATATAGAGTGATTGTTTTATTATCTTGTTGCTGTGTGCTACTCATTCTTTCTAATCTGCAACTGGTAATGCAACACTGAAATTTGCCAGGGAAAGAATCTCCTTAATCTTAACCATAAAAAATCTGTACATTAAAATATACAATCCTTCAGTTTTGTGCTGTTTTCAACATGGAGGAGTTAAAATTTCAGCAAAAAAGTATCAATATTTCTACTCAAACCTACTTTTGCATACTGGTAGAATGAAAAAGATACAATTTACTTTATTCCAATTACAATAATCTATGGTTTTTTTGCACATCAGTCCAACCTAAAAGTGATACCGCAGCAAAATTAGTTAGAAAAATGATTGACTGTAGATATAGACTAGTCACTTTCTAGTCCAATTTGAGTTTAGTTTACAATGAGCCATTTTTTGCAGCTTTGTTTATTCATTCTAAACATTATAATTCATGAACAAGACAAGGGTATAAAGGACATTTACATTTCTATAAAAATTTGAAATATATATATAAAACGTTTTATAGCAGGTTACCAAAGTAATGCTCATAGTAACAGATTTCAGCATGCCAGCTTTATACAGAAAATCGAGAAACAAATATATCTATGAAAGATAAATGACCACAGTTTCTGCAGTGTGTAAAGCTCTCTTTGACCTGCTTTGGAATAATACAGACACAAATTCCCCATATCTTCCAAATAACAGCAAACTCATGTCTTTGGAAACCTGTTTTGTATCAGAGGACAGAGGAACATAACAGATTGAAGCGTTTTTTGTTCTATTACTTGTTGAAAGACCGATTAATACAACAGGATGAAGCAATCTCTGGGTTTAGTTTACATAGTTGACGGTTTAACTTTGGTCTGTTGAAATGTCAACTCAGGACAGATCCGTTTTATAATCCTGTAACTTTATGAATCATCCCGGTTTGATTGAGTATCGAGAACACAAACAGATGCAGATTAATAAAAGAAATGCTCCCGGGTCGTTATTATGCAGCTCAGAGCAGGGGCTGTTTTCAAGACACATACTTATTGATAGTATTGATCTGGCTGTCCTTTTTCCTCTACCAGAGACACATTTATTTACTGTGGCGCAAACCCGAGTTAATCACTGTTTACCTGCTGAGGCTTCTGAAAATAAAAAGGAATAATCTTTGTCCTCCCGGTCCCACGTATAGGGCAGTTTGAAGTGCTGAAAGCTATGGTAAAAATACAATGGTCTACTTGACATTAGGGCTGCAAGATATATGAATAAAAAAAATCAATTCCTCTCAAGCTAAGGTTTTGGCTGAGTGGATAGGACACTCAACAAGAAGGTCCTGGGTTTGAATCCCAGTCGTAACGGGGTCTTTCTGAGTGGAGTTTGCATGTTCTCCCTGTGCTTGCGTAGGTTTCCTCCAAGTACTCCGGTTTCCCCTACCACTAAAAACATGCACACTAAGTTAAATCCTCCAGCTCTGGTCCTGACCAAGCCCAGCATTAACATCTGGAGATGGATTCCCGGACGCTATTACTACGGCGACCACTGCGCCTCACGTAAGCCTCAGACGTAGCAATAGCATAGTTAAAATATTTTACCACTGTTTGGAAGAACTCTGACGCCAAAAGGTGTCGAAAATACCCAGTCAAAATCACTTGAAGGTAAATGTAAAAGCATGTTTGGAAAATGTTTGAGCCTTTGTTATTGCACAATTGGTATTTAATCTTGGAAGAGCTCGTGTCCTGAAATCCCACTTAGAGGCCACAGCAAATCCTCAGGAAACATATGCCATCATTGGCACGGAGTTTCGTTTTTCTGACATTAACAAAATCAACTCAACCTGAATATTTTTCACTGAGCCCTAAGGGAACGCATGTCCAACTCAAATGTGTGTGCAATAATAAAAGTCTGTCACAGATTTGAGTGGTCTGTTTTAGTTCTACTGCAGGCAAAATGCAGTCAATTGTTATTTTTAAGTCACTGCACAGGATGTTTTCAAATCATAACCGTGGCAAAATAATCTTTTGAATAATCAAGATGGCTTCAAACAAGCTCATATTGTAACAGTTGGTATTCTTTGCTAATCAACCACCTTCGGAGTCCAATCAGCTTTGCCAGAAAATAATTGACCTTCTTTCAACGCACAAACCACACAGTAGGCTCTGCTTTTATTTTTAGTGATAGACAGGCCAACTAAATGGTAAGTAATTCCAAAACCATTAGCTTATCAACGGACTCCAGGGAGGACGGCTCATGTTTAAGCACCAATCCAGAAGGGCATGGTAAGGTCGCGGACGTGCTGTGATAAAGAGAAAGCAGAGTGACATTTTGGGGATGGCGACTCAGGGAATCTGAGACATGACAGGAAGTCAGCCATCAGACAAAGCCACCACGCTGCACCCTTCAAAAGAAAAAGCCATCATTTTATTATACAGAGTTTTAAGAGCATTTGATCCAAGGAGTGGCTTTAAGCATGTTACGGGACAAAGGAAATATTATTGCAGCCTTCCCTTCCTTAATAAAGATGTAATGTTTGTCTTTGCTAATGGTTTCCAAGGGTCAAAGCAACAAAGTACTTTGAGTCCTAAACTGTCTAGACAATCAGCTGTGGGCTGTTCAGGACAGCCTCAGGGTCAACACACGGATAATAGTCATTAGTCAAAAAGTAATTGATAATATTTATATGCTTTTGTCTCATTCACACTGGGGAACAACAAATTAGGATTTTTTTGCTGATACAATGCAGAT